TCTGGGATATGACTGTCTTATGAATCACAAATTCTCTGCTTCTCCATGTACATTTTCCAAGGGGAAACTGCCAATAGCAGAAGTTCTGTTGTTTTCCAGCTCTGCCTGTGATAAAAGTGGGGAATATTAATTCTGGAATATGGTATTTGGAAAACTATTGTTACCATGGATATAGGCCATGCTGTCCAGCAGTTTAATCAAAAGCATAGATAATATTCTCCATTTTCTTGATTCCTGCATTTGTCTTTCAATTTATTCTAAATCAGGCAGGAAGGGAGTTGATATTAGTTCTCTCAAACATCATTAGCTAATGAGTAAGCAGTTACATAGTACTTAGTTTACCCATGCTATTGGTAAAAATAACAACAAATCAAGAATAGCTAGTGTTGACATTCTCTGTACTGTTTTGGGAACTGTAAGTTGGTAAAGGTCTTTTGAGAATTTGAAACTATATTTACATATTTAAAAATGCAAACATAAGACCTGGGAATTTCACATCCTACAGAAATACTCATACATGTGCAGGGTTTATTTGTATAAGGATATTTCTAACAGCAGTATTTAACAGTGAAAAATTGAACATGATTAACTAGAGTTAAAGCACAACTATATATTCACACAGAAATACCATGTGAAAATTTAGACAAGGGGTCAGCAAACTATGACCATGAGTCAAACCTGCCACATTTTTGCAAATAAAGCATTATTGTCTCGTGAGCTTTGTGCAGTCTCCATGGCTGCCTTTGGACTAAGCAATGGGTGGAATTCAGCAACTGCAACAAAGATCACATGGCTGGCAAAGTCTGAAGTATTTACTATTTGGCTTTAATGAAACTGTTTGCCAAGCCCTGATTTTGAAGAATGAAATAGATCTATTTATATAGGCTTCAAGGCCTATCATGAAAAAAAATAAATGCAGTTAAGAATTGTCAATATTATTATCCATATTAGGTAGTTAGCATGATCTTTAGTACATGAAAAAAAAAAAAATCTGTTTATGTGCTTACCTGAATGCGATCCAGCATTAATAGTGGCTATTTATTTTAAGAAGAGTTGGGGTGGAGGGAGAAGGGTGTTTTAATGGGTATATGTTTATAAATTACTTCTGGAAAGTTTTATTTAGTATCAAAAAGGGCAAAGAAAATGCCTGGACCCACCTAGGAATTTGTTTCCTAGCACCTCCCGTCCCACACCTAAATTCTTGCCTAAGACTCACGTTCTACCAAGCTAGGCAAACTCATCACCTGATTTGCTACCATTTTTACTGGTATCGTTTCTTTCCAGCGAGGAAGATAGAGATAATGTGGTGCATTATTTAATTAAGAGCTTGTGTATGTTGTCATATCAGCCTCCATTGTGTTAACTCTTTTGAGAACTGTTGATAAGATTTAAGACACATCTTTGGAATGTTACTACATTCTTGATGGGAATAAACAAGCATTACCTTGGAAGAAAAGAAACTTGTTATACTGTTTGCATTTAATTTTGATCAGACAAATGAAAAGATTTCAAATGAAACCATGAGTTGAACACAAGCAGCCATACCACAGTATCATGGTAACCAACATTTTTTCTTTTGATATTTTAACAAAAGATGGAAAAATTAAGCTTCAAAAATTTATATTTTTTTAAAGATTTATTTTATTTATTTATGTATACAAGAGCTGGGGTCTAGGCCAGAGGTGCAATGGCGGGGGGAGGTGGGGAGGGAGGAGGTGGGCATTGAGAGGATTCACCAGTGACAGAGAGTGTAGCAGAATAGGCAGATTGACTGAAATACACTGCTGAGGGGAGCAGTGGGCGAGACAAGAGTGGTCTGCTGCACCACGTGGGTTAGCTTCCTGGCTGGAGATCGAAATCGTGCTGCAGTGGCACCAGGGAGGCCCCCAAAATTTGTATTCATTTCACAATAGATTTGTAATAGTTCCCTATTAGTTCCAAAGTACCCTAATAGTTCCAAAAGTTTGTCATTTCCCTCCCACCGCCCACTGATTATAAACTATTCTCCTATGAAGTGCCACAAACTGGAAAATTCTCTTGCTGAATCACATCACATCTTTGGCAATTTTATCTAAACCACAGGAAGTTTTCTTAAAATGTTGCTTTTCTGAGTCCTGCTAAAACTAGTTTAGTCTTAAGTAAAAGTCATTAGTGGCTTGCAGTGCCAGGTAGCAAGCCAATTATTTAATCCTTGAATGGAGTCCTTTCTTTCTCTGGGCAAATCATCAATTTACACATTATTACGATATACTTTATGGCCTTCACAACTTAAGAAGTGTTTTTCCATACATTACCCCATCTACCAGTAAACCTGTAAAGAAATCAGAGAAGGTTCTATATTTTTCAAATGTGGACACTATGTCATTGATGTAAATAATTTGTCTAGGGGAACAGCTGGCAAATGTTAAAGAAGAGATTCAAATTCTCCCTTTCAGAAACACCCAAGTATTCCTTTTTTAACAGTTAAAAGATGTCTGTTTTCTCTCTTTTTAATTGCTTTTCTCAAATGTAGTCATAGAAACATCTCCTGGGGGGACAAGTTTTATGTGTTTGAGATTCCTATTTATGTGTCTTTAACAATAATAGCAAATAACTGTTTAAAGGAGAATTTTAGTTCTAGAGAAATAGGGACAACTATCCTCAAAACTAATCACATCTCACTAAGAGTACAATATTAACTAGTTTCATAAGGCTAAAATCTGCCTCTAACTCTACACATTACTCGATTTACCAGATTCTACTTTCTAAAACATTTGAAAATAATTAATGTCTGAAAATCATTACACAGAAGGACCACACAAAGTATATAGTGTCTCAATAGCGAGAAAAGCAAACTTCATAGTATTATTACAAAAACACACACATTTATTTAAAAACAAAACCTCTAAAAGGTTTTAGAATTGTTGATGAGACAGATACATTTTATTTTTTTATTTTTTTTAAGAGGCATGTATTTTTATTTATTTATTTGTTTGTTTATACATGCACTGGATACAGTCAGAAGCGTAGGAGGGTGAGAGAATTCACCAGAGCCAGAGCAGGGAGCAGAGCAGGCAGAAGGACCAAAGCACACTGCTGAGGGGAGCAGCGGGCGGCAGGAGAGGTCTGTGTGCCATGTGGGACCCTCCTCCGGTGGCCGGGGAGCAGCCGGGGATCGAACCGGTGCCGCCGCAGGGAGCTTTGCAACCCAGCACTCAACCGCTGCGCCACCAGGGAGGCCCTAAAGATACATTTTAAAGCAAATCTCAGAAAATAACTTGGAGTAGTTATGTTTCATTCATCACTTCCATCTCCCCACCCATATAGTAAGTGATTATCCAAAAAATGCAATGATAGCCTATATAAGTCTTTAGAATACTTCTATTTGGCAAGCTAAAATAATGAAGACATAAACCAAAACCAACAATTTGTACCTTTAAATACAAAAAAAACCCCAGAAATTAGTGAGTTCACTTAATGACAATGGAGGCAGGGCACTGATTTTATTTCAGGATTAAAATGTTATCCTAAAAGAGCATAGTTTCTGTCAGTCCCTAACACTAAAACTACTTCTTTGCGATACCTGAGGTATACACAGGGAAAAAAGCTAAAGTGATCAACAAAATCCCAACCCTAATTGTGTAACACTAACTATACTTTTTAATGGTCTCTCACCATACAAAGGAGACTCTCCTACAAGTTTATATTAGAATTTACAAGACAAAGCATGTGGGGAAGACTCATCTATGTAATCTACAGATATATTAAAAGCCTAAAGTTTTAAGGTCAAAGGGAAAAAGAGCTTACCTTTCATTCATGAGATGTCAATTCTCCTATTTTCTATTCTCTTTCCATATCTTTCCTGATTCTGATTCCTACTCTTTTCTACCTTTTCTGTTATCTTACTTGGTATTTCTCTACATTTCCTTGCCCTCACAAATCTTCCACTCCTTAAATTATATTGAGAAAATGACTAAAGTGCTTTTACATCCGTACGATCTTGCTTTCAACTATATGCTTCCGGTTCCCAAAAGTTGCAACATGGTAGAAAGTTAGTTGAAAGTAATTGCAGAGTTAGTGTTGAGTCCAAGGTCTGCCACTATTGTTTTTGTGACCACAGGCAAATTACTTTCCAAAAGAACTGAAACATCCTTACCCCAAATTTATGTAGTTAACTTATTTATTGATTGCATCCTCCTTTTGTCCTTTAACATATTCTTTCATCTCATTAATATATCTAAAAGCTTGATCAGATTTGGGCTTTTTGTTCTGTCCTGTTTTTGGCAAAACATTTCATAAGTAGTGAAGGTACTTTTCATTGAGTTGTACTTATAAGGCACCACAGAGTTCAGGCATTGCCATGAACTTCAAAGTTCCTCATCGGCTTTTCAATTAATAGCTTCAACCATTGGTGATCCTTGCCTAGACTGAATTGATTGGGAATTGCAAAATGGTGATTTCCAACAACATTCTTTCTGCACTTGTGTGGAAAATTCTACATATTCTACAAATTGTTCCCCTCAATTGTTTGGTTACCTTAGATCCAGGCAGGATAAATGCTTCTTTTTCTCCAAGTTACCAGGTTTCAAAATTCTTCAATATCCAAAATTGACAGAGTTGGTTTGCTTTTGCTCCCTCTTTTAGATAGCACTTGGTGCATAATTTACATATTTAATGTGCTTCAGTCCATTTTAGTTTTTATCCTTACAGATCATCAAATTACTGCATCTAATAACCATTAGTTTGGAAATGCTGCAGTCACTAATTTTTGTAGTATAATAATAATTATACTATTGTTCATTATATCATCTCCTTATATATACATTTGAAATATTCTATAGTGAAAGTTTTCTTTTTATCCTATTTTAGGATAACACACACCTAAGGTCAGCTCTAACACAACTGGAGAGTTTCTGAAAATTTTATCAAAATACATGAAGAGGAAAAATTTACACAGCTTCATTTTCAACTCAAGCAATGTGACATTTGAAGTTAAAAGATAATCTGAGAAGTATGATTCTTAAAGTACTCTTTATTAAGATCATTAAAAGTTGTAGAAACAACTTTATATTATAAAGGCACAGGGAGACAGTTCCGATAGAATATTCAAATTAACAGTAACTTACAGTACAAAAGACAATTTTAATGCACATACAAACCCCAAATGTCTGATTCAAAAATATTTTACTGTGTCTATTAATGGGCAATGATTAAAAATATAAATTGCTGCAGTATAATAAATATCTGATAGTGAACATCTTGATAGCAAAGTGAACAAAATATTTATTGCTTTTCACATACATATTTTCCCTGTATTTTTAAATTCCTAATTCTTTTACTATCCTCTCCTCATCCTTTTCCAAAGGTGAAAGAAATTCCACTTAATTTCATGGGGGAAATGGTAGTTATAAAAAAACTACCTCAAGTAGCAATCACTGCTGGCAGTGTTTTCTCACTTCCAGTTCTACAATCGCAATCAGTCTTCCAAAAAAGTAAGAGAAATGCTTGCTAAACCACAGTAAGACAAACCCTCTGTGACTGGGATTCTAAGGTTTATAATGAATACTTATTAAATATAAAAGGTGCTCCATTTTGAAAATGAGTATTTTATTTGATGTTCTGAGTAAGAGGCGAATGTTTGAGAAATAATTTTACCAACTCCCCTCAAAAGTTTTCCAGAATTGTAAAAAGTCAGCCTAATAAAATTTCCAGCACTCAAATGTTTAAGGGCTAGTTGATATATGTAATATACTGACAAATAAAAATTAACATAATAGAATGTTTTATAATGGAGAGCTCTTACCCTTCTTCCAGTTTTTAAACTGGGATTAACTATTGATTTCATCCTGCTTTTTGCAGCAACTCAGTTATAGACGGTACAAAAAGTAGAATTTTGAACACAATAAAATAACACGAAAGCATCATCCTAATTTAATAAATGCTACTTCAACTTAAGAAATACATACATTAAAGTATTTGACAATCATTGTAAAGTTACTTAACCGTATGTCATATATCATATTCAGACAGTGGGTAGCAGCTAGTAATTTACCTGGCAAAGAACTGATGCTTAATAAATAGTTGCTGAAGGGAAAAAAAAAAAACCCATGGCTTTGGTTGTGCATATTTTAATTACTGTTTTGATTTAGAAGGTGATTCTAGAACTAAATACTGCACATTATACCAAACTCTCCTGTAAACAAAAGTAGTAATTTTAAACAGAAAAATATCACTGTGTTAGTGATAGACAATATATATATATTGTAATAGTGTTTAAATAGTTCACAAATACCACACATTTGTTGAAATTTTTATCCACGTACTTAGATTTGATGATTTGATGTTTAACATTGGGTAATGAAGGCCAAGTTGGGCAGACTGGCTGAACTGTCTGCTTTACAGTAAAAATTACTAGTCCATCAGTATTTTATTAAGATGCCTGATTAAACTTAAAGGATGACTACCATGTTAATTTCTGCAAAACTACCAAGGAATGAAAGATTATCCTTAAATTATATATGTTTGAAAGCAGTAGCTTAACTTTATCAACATAAAAAGAAAAAGATCTGAATTTAATAATGACAGTTAAAGTAGTGGAAGTGGGATCCTAAGAACAGGCAAGTAACCAATTTTTAAATCTAATATTCTTTGGCATATGCATTACTATCTTGGACTAGTTAGCATTTAAAAAATACTGGGTTATATATTTTTTTCTCAACCAAAATGAACATCAAGGTTTAGATTGCTAGTATACTCTTCTTAAAGCCTTTTAAAGAACAAAATCATTTTTTTCAACATATGCCAAACTTCCTGTTTAGTATACACTTATATTATTGGCATAAGGGGATGTAACTGTTAAATAACCTTAAATGATCTCATGCAATGGTGAAACCACAGAAGGTAGGGAGAAAAGTATTTACATAATCAACTATTTAGCTTTCTGAAAAAATGACAATAAACCTGGGAATCCTGCCCTAGTAAATGTGCACCACATGGCACTGAAGGAAAACTAGTCAAAATTTAAGCAAACACCTATAATAACCTGAATGTGTAAAAATTAACAGAAAACATAAAAAATGGGGGAGAAACAAACCCTACATATCAGAAGGAAAAAGCGGCCTATAAAACAGGCCAATCTACATTGTCATTCAAAATAAAATGCAAGAGATTCACAAAATCATGATAGTAACGCAAACAATGTCAAGTACCAAGTACCCTTTGATACACAAGCTGATGTAACTATCAGACTCATTTCCAATAGCTTAACAATATTCTTTAACCCACCCAGGCAATCAAGGGGTGCAAAGCAGTCAATGACAGCTCAAGTCTCCAAAGTGTCAGAATAAACTGTTTTGTAGAAGCATTCTGTGATTTTGAAGTAACATCTTACTTATATTTGGATGGATGTTAACATAAAATCTATCAGTGCAAGTTTATCATCCTCTTAATGTAATGCTTCTAAACTTTATTTTTCCAGATAGTTTTTGGTGGTTTAGTTTTTGCCAGTGCTATCTAAATGGAGAAAAGTTCATCATAGACTACCTCACGTTGTTACTTAATTGTGCTAGATATTCACGCAGTTCTTTCGCAGCCTGGAATCTGCCATAGCGCTTCTTTGGGTTGGCACACTCGTCCAGCAAGGCCTCGAGGCGGCCATCTTTGGCAATTTCACTTGGTGGGTCATGTAGGAGTCCTCCAGAAGTGCCACGCCAGGTGGCATGCCTGGATAAGAGGTTCTGACAAACGGCATAGTAATTGTGGTCCACAGTGGCACGAGCACAAAGAATTTCTTTTGAAAATGACAAGCAAGCCTCCTTATCACAGTCATCAAATTTGCTTTCATACCATACATCCCAATTTTCAGGTTTATCTGGTAAAGGGGAAAAAACAGAAAAATGCATCTTAAAAGAGTTTTCATTACTTGTAAAAATAAAACATTTTAGTAATTAACATAGTATTTATTAAAATTGTGTTATAAATGTTTATAATTTAAATAGATTAATTCACACACTCACTCACTGGGAGTCCACCAATACCAGGCAGAAGAACCTACCACCCAGGGTTCGGCCAAAGGGGAAACTTGCTGTCACACAAGAGAAAGTGCCATAGGCACGTCTGACACACACTTCTACCTTGGGCTGTAAAAGGTTTCACAGGGTAAAGCATCTGATTTAGAACTTAATAGATAAGCAAGAATGAAAAGAAAGAATATAAAACAGCATTCCAGGCCCTCTGTATAGTATATGCAAAGCTGTGGACTTAGGGATCAGGATATGGTGAGAAATTGCCTATAGCTATGAAGACAGACAGGCATGTGGAGAGGATGGACAGTTAAATTAGAGACAAAAATTAAAAGGTGAATGCATTAGTTAAGCTTAAAGATGACAAGGCAGATACTATTAACATAATGTAGTGTTAATATATATGCCAATGGAGTAAATATAAACTAGCTATTAAGTAGTCAAGTCGGCATGTCATATATACAACTACAAACAGACTTACAACTGATGACTCTGAGGTCAAAGGTACCTTACAGATATTTTGAATCCATTAGCATACACATGCTTGATGGAGCAAAAAGAATAGCTGAATTGTATTGGAAAAGCATGCTGAACGCAAAGAAAAAAAAACTGAGGGGACAAACTTAAATCTTAAGAGGTTGACAGGAGAGAAGCAAAAAAAAAAAAAATCATTCAGTAAATAATAAATCAAATGCCTACTCTATAGGGGGTAAGGGTATGTAAGAGTGCAAAAAATAGACAGTAGATGTGGAACAATCATTAGAAAGTAAATCAGTAAGCATATTATTGCAGGAAATGCTATGAAAAGGAGAAATAGCAGTTTCCAACAATAGAAAGACTTATGAAAACAAACTTCTCTAGCACTTTAATAATCAAGTTGTATTTGTTTACTGGTACTTGCCAAATAAAGCAAATTAAGATGCAAGGTTGCCATCTAAGGAGGAAATTAAAGGTTTGCTTCATATAAATGTAGACATTATATGACAAATGAAAATGAACCAAATAAGAAGTCTAAAATTATATACTTACTCTGTCTAATTAACCTTTTGTCAGCAACCAAAACATTTTCAGCATCCACAATGATTACCTTCCCATCTCTAGGACCAACTGCAAAATTGTCAAAGCTGACATCCAGGAGGTAGAGTGCAAATTCAAAGTCATTGTTGGTAAGCTGTTCTGCTATTTCCATTAATTGCCAAGCAAGGTCAACTCGTTTCTCCCATGGTGCATTAAAGTAACTCCACAGTTCTTCTCCAACATAATTTACAGCCACCATCCTTCCACAAGCTCCAAGGTATTTTGCAAATGGCCAACCTTCATCAGATGGAAAACTCTATGAAAGAATTATCTTATTATTATAAGAGATTCCAATGAAGATATCCTAGGCTTACCCACAGATCCTGTCAGTGGATTGCTACTAGACAGGAAACTGGATTTTCTCATTATATTCAATAGATCAATAAGGACAAGTTTGACTTCTATCCCATACCATTATTATGGACCTGGGGAAAAGTTACTTAGAGAACTTCATATCATAAATCTAAAATAGTTGGTGGAAGGTGTGGTGTGGTAACAGATCAGAAGAGAAGTGAACTGGGGCCTCTCTGGTGGCGCGAGGGGTTAAGGCACAGCACTATGAAGCTATCCATAACTACAGCAGCACAAGTTCAATCCCCGACAAGGGAGGTGACCCACATGGCGTAGCAGACCTCTCCCCACTCACCCACTGCTCCCCTCAGCAGTGTATTTCAGTCAGTCTGCCTGTTCTCTGTCTCCAGTAAATCCTCTCACCCCCCAAACCTCTGGCCTGTGTAACCCAGTTCTTGTATGTATAACTAAATAAATCTTAAAAAAAAAAAGTGAACTGAACTATAATCTGTAACATAATGTTGTAAAACCAATATTACCTGGTAAAAATTTATAAAATTTGTTTTTAATTAAGTTACAATTAATAAAAGTAAATAAATAAAATGAAAATGAAATCAGTCTTACCAATGCCTCAGAACTAAATTGATGAACTAGCCATCTTCTTTATTACCAAATATAAAAAGTATTTGTATGTCTTCCTTTATTTATTTATTTATTTATTTATTTATTTTTTACTTACAAAAATGCAGTTGGGACACATTTGGCAAAAGAAACTTCGAGCCAGTAAAGTTAGACTTTGGACAAGGGAACTAAACAATGGCTGAGCGAGGCTCAGTGGTTCAACTACCTGTTTCAACAGACATACCAAATCATTAACTGGTGAGCCCTATCCCAGTATCTTTTCAAACAATCTGGACCACCGACTGACCAAAAGCACCAAGTCAGAAAAAAATCATTGGATCCTGGAGGGAAAAGATGTGTGCACGGCGAGTATAACCCATCTGACTCATGCTTGGGAGTAGCACGGCCCAGAACAAGGTACAATCCTGCTCTTCCTCTGGTGCACCTCAGGGACCTACTCTGTAAATATCTCCTGACTCCCTCAAGAAGCCATTCTAATTCTCTTTTCCCAGCACTGGGGTTCCCTCTTGCACAAGTCTCAAATAACGCTTTGTCTGGTTCACTTAACCTCTAGTGAATTCTTTCTCATAAAGGGTCTCCAGACCCACACACTTCTGGGGAACACAATCAAGCAACCCTTCCTTTTAAATGGACAGCAATGCAAGTTTATTAGTACACATATATTTATCAGGCATTGTGCAATGCAGACAGTTAACTAAGCTGAGTATGTGTTAGTTACTGAGAAGTGGCATAGGTCCTAAGAGAACAATGAATAATCCAAAAGCAAAGAACGTTAGCATTCAGAGGACTCTTGGGAAGTGTCATTTAACCTACATCCAAAGTTTGGTAAAGAGCAATCTGATATCTATCAATGCAATGGCCTCTCCATCGTCTTTTGCTCCAAATTAATCTTGTTTCCCTTTCTCTGATCGCATTTTCCGTTCATCTTGGTTCAGCATCAAAATTATTTATTCTCCTAATCTCCACAAGCTTTTCCAATGGATTTTATAACTACTGGGAGAATCATCCTAAAATCAAAAGAAAAATCTTTCATGACCATCAACAAGTTATTTTCAACTTAAAGTGACAGGCTTTATCTAAGCTTTCGAGTTCTCAAACACCTACCTCCTAAATGAGAACTGGAGTGATCAAGGCTGGGAAGTAATGCTTTAAGCGACTTCTTGAAAAACACACAACAAGAGGGAGTGTGATTTAGGACATTAACTCAGCCTAGTACCTTTCCTTAAGTTGGAAAAAAAAATTATTATGAGAAGATGATGTTTATACAACACTATATGGGAAACAAAATACCACAGAATATAAATATGTCCACCTTCTACCACAAAAAAAAAAAAAAAAATCTACATATACATTAAAAAAGCAAAAGATGAGGCTCTTCATCTAGAACCCCTTAAGAAAAGATATTAATCTTGCATTGAGCTTCTACACAATCACCAAATCTCTAATAACACTCTTAGGTTAACACTTTTAGCAACTTTAAGACAAAAAAGATATTTAGCACTATACTCCATCTCATATCACCCATTTATACATTTGTGCTCCAAGTCTATCAATGCACAATAACTGTACTAGCTCTTTGTATATGTCTTTTAATTTTAATTTCAGCAGGACTGTGATAAAACACTATGAATTAATAATTAAGATATGGTTCTTTAACTATAATAAATTTATCGATTCAATTTTAACCCAGAGACAGTATGTATGATTCGTTGGCAATTACAGGAAGACACATTCTGAATTCTGTTCCTGAGAACACTTTTGAGCACTGGAGAAGTGACAGACTGGCTCATGCCCAATGTGGACTGCAAAAACTATTTCTAATCACATATTATTTTCAACTTTTCTTCCCAACTTAAAATTCTCCACAACCTTGAAAATTTAGACAAAATGACTGTAAAAGATTTAACTGTCTCTCAAAACTAGATATGTATAAAGTCCCTGATATAAAATATGAAGCACCAAAAATAAGTAAATATGCAAAGATTACAATTTTGCCATACAAAAAGTAAGACAAAAAATGCTACACATTATTGGTATATTATTCATATACCATATTATAGAACAGATACAAACATATCATTGTGAAAATAAAATGGTCTTTGACAACAGGAGAAAGGGAACCCTGCCAACATGTGCACATGTCTCTCTGTTTTTGGAACCTTTCCAACTGGCAAATGACAGTCAAATACACACTTCATTACCCAAGATCCTCATAGAAAAGGATAAGATGTATGACAAAAGTCATACTGAACAACCTTATATTCACACAGTGATTTCTGACACTGTTGGCTGAAATCCTGCTATGCCTCATTTTAAGAAGAGCGTTGTATTTTTTTTTAAATGTATTAATAGTTTGCTGGCTAATCTTTTAGAAAAACTTTAATAAACTATTTTGTACCACGTGTTCTTATGAAAATTTTTCACTGTGTAATCAAAACAGTCAAATTTCATTAAGAACAATAGTCTACTGAACACATAGCAGTACAGAGAAAATTTTTTTTTATTGGCCAAATTATTTACAATTGGTATTTGAAACAATTCTGGATTAGAACTAAATTGCCGTGGTCAGGCAGTTTGCAAGACAAAATTTAAGATATTATAGCATGGGGCCTCCCCGGTGGCGCAGCGGTTGAGCGCTGGGTTGCGAAGCTGCCCGCAGCGTCTGTGGCGCCGGTTCGATCCCCCGGCTGCTCCCCGGCCACCGGAGGAGGGTCCCACATGGCGTGCAGACCTCTCCTGCCGCCCACTGCTCCCCTCAGCAGTGTACTTCGGTCCTTCTGCCTGCTCTGCTCCCCGCTCTGGCTCTGGTGAATTCTCTCACCCTCCTGCGCTTCTGACTGTACCCAGTGCATGTATAAACAAAAACAAACAAACAAACAAATAAATAAATAAATAAAGCATGCCTCTATAAAAAAAAAAAAAAAAGATATTATAGCATGAATTTTATTAAATATATCAAGCAGAAAGAAACTTCATTTCTTCTTGATTACCTACCAAACTTTCACAGTGCATAAAACATAGTGGCTAGAGTAAGTTTACTGCTGACGTCCACTTTTATTTTAAACTAAATCTTTTCATTCATTTTTATTCTTTTTATTAATTTTTCAAATTACCTGGAACAATAATTACATTTTGTAATCTGACATAAAATGTGAGAATATTAATGAATAATTTATAATTGGAAACATGTATAAAACTTTTCATTTGAAGACAAAAATGCCTTTAAATATGAATGGTTTAAATTCTATATGGATTAGATGCACTTCAATTAACTTATCTGGGCTTTTTATCAAGAGTAAATGCTATAAAGTATAATATATAAAATTTTTAGAATATAAGTTTAAGGCTGTACAAAGGCAAAAAAAAATAAAAGGCTTAATTTTGTATCACCTTCTGAAAGTATCTACAAATAATGAACACTTCCCAAACAAAGCTAAGAATCACTAAATCAGAAATTCATTTTTACTGTCCTCTAGCAGTTTTTTTTTTTTTTAAAGATTTATTTATTTATTTATACAAGCACTGGGTACAGTCAGAAGCACAGGAGGGTGAGAGAATTCACCAGAGCCAGAGTGGGGAGCAGAACAGGCAGAAGGACCGAAGTACACTGCTGAGGGGATCAGCAGGCGCCAGGAGAGGTCTGCGCGCCATGTGGGACCCTTGCCCAGCGGCCGGGGATTGAACCGGCGCTGCAGAGGCTGCGGACAGCTTCACAACCCAGTGCTCAACTGCTGCGCCACCGGGGAGGCCCTCCTCTAGTAGTTTCTAATTTACATTGGAATATATAGTTACTCAAAATTGAAAAAGGCAAAAATGCTATAAGAAACTTCAAGAGGGCCTCCCCGGTGGCGCAGCGGTTGAGCGCTGGGTTGCGAAGCTGCCCGCAGCCTCTGCAGTGCCGGTTCGATCTCCGGCTGCTCCCCGGCCACTGGAGGAGGGTCCCACATGGCGCGCAGACCTCTCCTGCCGCCCGCTACTCCCCTCAGCAGTGTACTTCAGTCCTTCTGCCAGCTCTGCTCCCCGCTCTGGCTCTGGTGAATTCTCTCACCCTCCCATGCTTCTGACTGTACCCAGTGCTTGTATAAATAAATAAAAATAAATCTTTAAAAAAAAAAAAAAAAAGAAAGAAACTTCAAGAGCATTCACAAGCACCAAAAATACAAAAACTTAAAAGACATAAACAAAGCACTGCAATTTGCATTTCATTTATAGTAAGTACCACATGCCAAAGTAACCTATCACATAAATATTGATCAGAACCAAATGCTATGACAGTTTAAAATGTGATCAACAGAGGGGATGTGAAAACAAAGAATTCTAGAG